TTTAGTATTTTTATTGATAAAAAATTTTTAATTGTTATTTATATAATATATTAACTTTTTATTTAAAATTTATATTAAAAAATTAAAAAGTCAAAAATTAAATTAAATTTACTAAAAATAAAAAGAAAAAAAAATGTGTAAATAACTTGGGCAAAACCATCAGTTAAGCCCCTAAACAAACCCCAAAATCACTATCGAGCCCACAGATTTTAATTGAAGCATATAAACCCTTAAACTCTGTGATTAGAGCAATTTAGCCCTTATTCTACGGCCAACTTAACTATTGTTTTGGAACTCATTTGTGTGGCAAAATATTGCCATGCCATGCCTTTGTGGCAAGGGATTTGACATTTGGTTTGCCACTTGAATGTAAAAAAATAAAAAAATAAAAAAATAAAATAAAAAAGAGAAAGAGAAGAGAAAGAATTGAAACCCTTCTATGCAACAACAAAAATAATAAAAAATATAGAATGTTGGAAAGTTCAATTAATCTTACCAGTCCCTTGCTCTCATAGTAATCATCAAGTGCCCACTGATACTTGGACTGATTTAACCCAAACTAATGCACCAGATGATCATCCAAACTTGAATGAGCTGCAAGACAACAAAAAATACATGAATTACTATTTTGCCTTGAGAAATCCAGTACTCCTTGCAACATCAAAATACCAATCAAGGAAGCGAGATCCATCATTGTTTTGCAGCTATTCTTCCATCACTCTCATCAATTTTCCCAGAAAACAAACACCACATGCAATAACACAGAAGAACAAAACAAAACAGAGTAGCTAAAAATAGAGAAAAGAATAAATAAACAACATACCATTCTACACCTTGGTGGCAACATTCTTGAAGAAACCCAAAATAGACCCATAATAGGCAATAATAGACTTATCAAATTGCTACGGCGGGGGTTGTACCAGAGAAGAGGTTGCACCTTTTTGGGAAACTCATCAAGGGGGGATTGCTATGGCTTTTGAGGGGAGTCGTAAAGGGTCTCGGCAAGTTTGGGGGTTGTATGTGGGGTGACGAAGACGGTGTAGGGCCTAATCTTGCTAACCATGGGCAATTAGCTCTCCATGCGACCACAATTGAATCTCTTTCTGAGAATGTCAGATTCTTCTCTTTATCTTGAGAATCAACCATTGTCCCACAATAGTCATATAAATCGCATGATCAACTCTTGCTACAGTCCATCACTATCACAAACTATCTACTTTGATAGGTTTATCCCTAGTAGATCTGGTTCTAATTTTGTGCTTTTATTTTTTCAATAGGTTTGAAAACTCACCTCTATTTCCACTTGTTGCTTCAAAACCTTGAGAATTAGATGTCATAGATTGACTCGTGCTATCTCAAGTTGTTTCGAATCCCAATCCCCAACTAAAGATGCTTTCAAGTTCCCAACACCCCTAATTGTTCTTAGAAAGAAACCCTAATTGTTCCCAAATAACCCTAATCCCTAATCTGTACTTTATTGAGGAAGTGGGGCTAAGGATCTTGAGGAAGATGAAGTGGACCTCGAGGCTCCCTTTCATTTTTTTTTTCTTTTCATTCTCTTCTTTTTTTCTTTTGTTGGGCATCTAGGTGGACAAATCAAATGCCAAATTCCTTACCACAAGGCATGACATGACAATATTTTGCCACGCAAGCAAGTCCCTAAACGACAGTTAAGTTGGCTGTAAGAATAAGGGCTAAATTGCTTCAATCGCAGAATTTAGGTGTTTATATGCTTTAATTAAAGTTTGGGGCTCAATAGTGATTCTTGGGTTAGTTCAGGGGCTTAACTTCTAGTTTTGCCTAGAACTTGACATTTTACTTGTAACATTACCCAAAAAAATTTAAAATAAAAAATATTTAAAGCCTCTTAATATTTAAAATTTTAGTACCTGCAATCACCGTCATAGCATCTACCTCTTGTAATTCAACTAACACTCCCAACCCTCGTTCCTCCAAATCCCGCTAACTCTGCCACCTTAGCATGCCTGCTCTAAGCCAAAGCATGGAGAATTGTCATTAATTAACTTGCACCTGTATATTGCACCTACAAATATATATAAGTATAGTGTAGGATCAATTGCACCTATAAATAATATATATATTATTCCGCATGGTTTATGTTTTCTAAGTAGCCTACAGTACGCAAAGGAGAACCAATAGATGTATATGGGTAGAAGTACTCCTTCTATTCTATTTTAAGAAAATTTTACTATTTAAAAAATTGCCTTTTAAAATTTTTTGAAAGATTTATCTAAAAAATTATTTTTTAATTAATATTTTTAAAAATTTTATTTTTAAAAAATTGATTGTTAAATTGAAAGTTCATTCAAATAAATCGTGCATATCAATTTTCATATTAATTTAATATATATAATTCTTTAATCAAAGTAACTTTATATACTAACATACATTTAATGGTATTGAATTTTATACAATTGATGAAGTGGTTAAATTTGCTAGATCTATGAAAATTTATATGCATTATTTATATAAATAAAATTTTCAATTCAATAGTTAATTTTTAAAAATATAAATTAAAAGATGAGTTTTTAAATATGTTCTTTAAAAAAATTTAAAAAAATAACCTACAAAACCCTTTTTCATATGTATAGATATATAGGAAAGCTATATGTACAATGTTTTAAAGAATAGTACTTCACACAATATCATGTGAATTTTTGTGATTTTAACTCTTTTTAGTTTAGTTAAAAAAACTTATTTTTATTTGAAAGCCACGTATATTTTTTTATAAGTCAAAACAAAATAATTTATTTATTTATCAAAGTATAAAATTAAAGGTACTCTAACCCTCACAATTATAAATACAATTAGTTATCCCGACTTAGAAAAATCTGACATCATTATACAATTCATCCACTTAGCAGCCTGCGATGAGCTTTTCTTACCTTTTGATAACACCATATTGCTTGAACACATCTTGTTGGTTGTTCACATTTTTCTCTGTAACTAATTAAAAACACAGCCTGCAACCGTTGGCTTGAGCCATTCAAACGTTCTTCCCTGTATCATCTCCAACAATTTCTCACCAAACACATCATCATTATATTAAAAACTCTGCGATTTCTCCAACCCCATATGTACCAAGCCGCCACCAAAAACAAAAAAGCCCCCATCTCCATCCCTTTTGCAAAACCCACTTCAATAAAATATTTAACCATCTCTTCAACAGTACTCGGCAACACCCCTTGCACACTCCACCACCTCATTATACCCATCCAAACTAACCAGACACTCTACATGAACAGAATAAATGATCATTCCCTTCTATATCATCCTCGCACAGAGCACACAATAAATCTCCACCTTGCACATTTATCTTCCTCCTAAACAAATTCTCCCTTGTAGCCGACCTGTTACACAGTAACCTAGCTCCAGCCAAAAATACTTACTTTTGACGGAACATATCTACACCATATCACTTTACACAATACCTCATCAAGAAACCTCTCCCCTGATAATAACAAGTTGTGAGCACTTTTCACTTAATACAATCCACCAACATCATTAACCCATCACCACTTATCCCTATCACCCTCCCTTAACCTCACACTCCCCAACAATTCCAACAAACTAACTTCCTCACTCACCTTCCCTGCGCAATCTCAGCCTCCTCCACATTAGGTTCCAATTCCAAACAACCCCGTCCCAGTATCCCATATCCTTAACCTTCCCTTCTTTAATAGATAAGAGAGCAAAAAGCCTGGGATAAATGTCACGCCCCAACTTAGGGGTTAGGACATGACAATGCCACATACCTTTAGGAGTGACCCCAAAAGCATGTAAGGCTAAATCAGTCCCTAAAATTCATCCCTGCAGCTTTGCATAAAATTTATTCTTCACTTTTAAGAAAATTAATAGAAAAATGTATATATGATAATAATACTCCATCATCTAAAATCAATTCTACACCAAGAATCTGAAGTTTAACTAGCACTAAATTAAAATCTCATTATTTCAAATGTCCATGAATGCTAAGCATAATTGGAAAGAACTAAATAGTCTATTTCTAAGGTGGCTCTCTATTTCCCCTGCCTCCCAGATGCTCCATGTTTAGTATCTGAAAACATTAAATAAAACAAGGTGAGCTCCACATGCCCAATAAGTAGCATACCCAACTAGTACGACCAAGCATAATCATCTTAATCAAAAAGTGACATAAAATAAGTAATGAGATTATATTGGATGAAACAAATATAAAGAAAATTCATCAGTAAAACAATTTCTCAATCCCACATGGCTATGGCACATGAATATCAACTGGTCGTTCGATACTCTATTACGACAAAATAAATAAATAAAAACAATGAACTGTTCAATGATCTAACTCAATTTCCCGTTCGATAGTCTAACACGGTTTACCGTTCGATAATCTATTACGGCACGATAATCTAAAATGATTCCCGACGATTCTATGCAAAACAAGTTACCTTAATTTCAAATAAATTTTCAATTCCAAAGTCTCTATATCACAAAACTATCAAATCCCCTCATCTCAAATAGTTGACAACCAACATGCTTAATCCGCATTTATTTAAAGAAAGAAAATGATAAATAAATATACACATAAATAAATAATGCATTCCAAAA